CTGCTCTTAAGGCATCGTGACTCTGATAGATGCTCCTCTTCATTATTTAATGAAGTTACACTCTACTCCCCCAAATACTGCATATTTAAACACAGAAAATTCTTTGAGTGACTATTTTCTCATTTCTCCCAAGGATGATGCATAACTACACAGGAGAGAAATTAATTCACTATAGATAATGAACACTTTTGGGCCTAAGGATTCATTTCTATGAAAAAAATCCAGTTGAGAAAGATTACCATTTATGCATGCACATGTCCATCTCCCTAAGAGACTGCACACCTGAAGACACAGCAATTTAATGTCTGGCATCAAACAGAACTTTGGTAAATATCTGTCAAGTGAATATGCCCAACAGAGGCATGCAAACCTGCAGACTTCTCTCCCACTCTTGCCAGCCTGAGGCCCACATCACTGTACTCAAATTTGTAGCACCAGACTATCTGATAACTAGATTAGAACTTCTCTTTTCCTCTTGAGATAAGAAGCATCATGGAATCATCCGAGAGATAAACTGGTATGCCTTTTCAGGAAAATAAAGTGCCCATTCATAAGAATGTGTGTATAATTTCAAAGGTTCGTGGACCAACCAGCCCTGGAAGTCTGTGACCCTCAGGTTAAGAACTCCTGTAGTACCTTGTTAAAAATTAGATTCGAATTAATATCAAACTCCTAACCAGCAAAGTTCTACTTATTTGGCAAAAACAAAAACAAGGAGGTTAGATTGAGCTGGGTTTCAACCCAAGTTAGACCATTTCTTAACTGTACAAAATCAGGGAAGTGAACCTGCCTTTTGCTCTTCTCAGTCTCAATTTCCTCCTCTGTAAAATGGGTTAACAATAGTTGCTAACGCTTTATTAATTAATGTCAGAATATGATAAGCAAACAACACACTTGGCAAGGTGCATCACTATTTTTCCTTTGCCCATCTCCCACTCCCACATTCATGCCTATGCAGAATTGTACAAGTGATTCCCATCGGATTTCAAGATACAATACAAAAACAAGAGTATAATTTATAAGGCCATAAAACATGACCCTAATCTTACCTCCAAATCAATTCAAATTTTGGTTTTAACCTATGAAAGCCCATCTGACAAGAAGTTAGCAATCCCATTCTGTGTAAATATAGGTCAGCTGCAGCATGCAACTGTTCAATTTTTAGATGGAGGCGTGGTAAGTTAATTTGAAAAGGAGATGAAAAGAACGTGTTTGATCAAATGCTAAACTGCAAAAACACACTGACAGGGAAACAAAGCAGAGAAATTAACTCTCCTAAAATTATTCTCTGATACCTTAGTTAATAAAGGACATTTAGGGCCTCAATCAGACTTTCTAACATATGCCAACTTCTCCACCTACCTCTAAAAGCCAAAAAAAATCAATTTAGTTCTCAATGTTCTCAGCTTCAAGTTCATTCAACCTTTAACTTAGGATTCAGAAAGCCTGACATTAAAAGTTACATAGGACCTATCATTCCGATTCTTTCAACAAATGAACTTCTCAAGCACTTCTAAATATTGAACTTCAAGGGAAAAATGCATTTCTATTTTTAAAACAATCTTTCATCTCTAGCAATGCAAATTTTCTTTGTCCAACCAATTCACATACCACTAGCGAATGATTAATCGGGCCTTTATTTAACATCACCAACCATGTAGGGCACACAACCAAGACCACAAGTTTCAGATAATGATCTCATTAACAGCAACAAATTGGTTCAAAGATAAAATATGTATCAATATATCTGAGAATCCTTTAAAGTTCCACACCAGAAATAGAGGAAAAGTGTAATTAATTCCCTCTGCACTCAAACAGTATGTCTGGTACTCTTACATGCAAATGAACTAAAATCTTGAATAAGATGATAAAGGTAATTTTAATGGAATTTCATACCTCCATATTCTATTCATCACAACTTTCACAAATGGAGATATTTTAAATCTTTTTTAAAAATCTTCTTACAGGCTACATTAGTGACAGGATAGTTATACAAGCCTCAAATGCAGAAGAGCAGGACCAAGATTTTTGTTATCTAATCCCCAAAATTTGAATTCCTACCCCCACAGCCCCAACACACACACACACACACACACAGAAGCTTTCCCCTACTTTAACTTATGCAAATGACAGAACAGGTATTCTAATTGGAAGAAGCTAGGCAAACAAGATTAGGTTATCTACTGTATAAACAGATATACATACACATGCTTTCACTGGCATATAATAGCAAAGAAAAGACCAGTAATACAAACTATAGAATTCTTAAAGGAGAGGGAAATTTTTCTCTTTTTTTTTTTGGAGACAGGGTCTCACTATGTAATTCAGGCTGGCCTTGAACCAACAATGATCCTTCTGACTCAGCCTCTGGTGCTGGAATCACAGGCTTAAACCACCATGTCCAGCTCAGGAGAGGGACTTTCAAACAAGTTTTTCTCCTCAATCAAGAACAATAAAGCTGCAGAACCCAACAAACAAAAGCAATGCTATAGTGCTATTATTTAGCTTTAATTATCAGGAAAAAAAATGAAGACCACAAAACATTAATGGCAAACCATGCAGAGTTCTTTAGATAATAAATAAAAGATGGTTTTGAAAAGTTCTACAGTACTTAGAAAACATGATTAATCTTAGCTGAACACCAATTTTCTTCTACTTCTCATTTATCATTTAATATATATATACTCCCCCCCATCAGTAGACCCTAAAACATCAGTTTTCCTTACCCTTGCACAAAAAAAACAAAACAAAACAAACAAACAAAAAAAACTGTTTCAGGAGCAATATTTGCAGAACTACTAAAAACATGCCAGCCTTTGTATACGTACAGTTCTGAAAGCTACACTGTGCTCCATCTGTGGACACTGAGAGTTCAATGAGCTGGACACCACAATAAAGTTATTAAAGCTTTATCATGGAATGACTATTCAGACACCTCAGATAAACCTACCAATAATACAGCAGTTATAAGGGAATTAAGGACACCTATTAGTGATTGCTTAACAGGTAAACTTATTAAATACCATTTAAGTCATTTTTCTTTCCTGAGCAATTGCTGACTTTGGAGGGGGAGGGACCTAGCCTAATGGACTACAAAAAGTTAGATAAGCACTTCAAAAAGCTTCAAGAGAATAGATCCTTCTGCCAAATTCACACAGTATCTCTCTACTCACAAGGATAAAATAATTACAAATAGTGTGTTTAAACTGCTAATTTTGTATTAAATGGAACCCAAGATTATCTCCAAAGCACAGCACTAGTCATAATGGATAGCTCACCAGACAAACTACCATGGAGAAAGAGTACAAGTTAAAACACTACAGATAAAAATTGAAAACTTCAATAGACTCCTCCAAAAGTGAAGTGTCACATGAAGACATCTTTTCCTTCTCTGGAAGGCTGTAAATCAAACATTTCTAAAACTATAAGGACAAGACTAAGCACTTGGGAGTAATCCCAGCACTTGGGAGACTGAACCATGAGGAGGATCACCTGGTCTACACAGTGAGTTCAAGGCCAGCCTGGACTACAAATAAAGACCTTGTCTCAAACAAACCAAACAACAACAACAAAAAAAAACACTAAAAAAAGCCATACGGATATGGTGAACATCTCAAGGAGGGGCAAGGTGTCACAAGGAGCAAGATTAAGACTCAAACTATTCTTGAAGTTTGAAATCGAAATGCTTAGGATTAGGAATCTTCAGCAAAGCATTCTTTCTAAAACCTAAAAGTTAGCCAGTAATAATATAATGAGGACAAAAGCCCACAAGCCTTTAACATTTGCAGTCACAAAACTCAGGATGCTTGCCCTTGCCCTTATGTTTACCAGGCGTAAGTTTAAAATGGGGGAAAGGACCCCTTAAAGGCAATACTGATTAATCAGGGGCACAAGTACCTCCCTAGCTGTATAAGGACACACCTCTAAGGATCTAGGCTGCACAGCTCCTTGTCTTAGCCACGCGGAGGGCTAAGTCTATACTAAAGAAGAGGACAGGAAAAGCTATCCACACTCTGTAGTCACTTCATACAGTCCCCCCTTAACAGTAAAACATAGAATCTGGAAGTTTAGGCCATGGATCCGTGCCATGGTCCCAAAAAGCTCAAAGACTAACCATTTCAGATCACCCTCACCAAAGACACGCTTGTTAGCAGCCAAAAGTATACTGGCTGTCTACTAGCAAGTTGATTAAAATCGTAGCCAAGAGAGCGGGAAATCTACCCACCTAACCATCCGCGGGGTTTCAGTTGAAAGTCGTAACCCCCACGAAATAATGGACATAATTTAAACTCTCCTTTAGCCCGCTTCCTTTCATGTATAGCAAGGTGGAGGCCCGTCAGTGAGCGACCCTAGCTCCCGATTTGCAAGGCCTTTTTGCATTAGTCCTTGGGCCAGGGATGAGCAGGCGGCCTCCCTCCCATCCTCTGTAATCTGAGGCATGCAATGAGGGCTGCCTTCCACCGCCACTCCAGGGCACCCCCGATCTCTGCTCTGCCTGGTCCCCTGCCTGCAGCTGCCAGTCCAGAGCCCAGCCGGAGGGTCAGCGCCCAGATAAGGCTGGCAGTAGGTTCCAAGGAAAGAACCCGATGGTATGTAGCACCTCCGACAAACCTGCCAGCTCCTAAAATGAGCACACGGGAATGGGCAGCAAAACCCGCGACCTGAAAGAAGCCATCCATCCTTTGCAACACTTGTCCTTCCAAAGTTGGCATTCAACAGGTAGTTCCCAGGACTTCCACCTGAGGCGGACAGAATGTGCAACCAGCGCAAGCCCAGGATGGGTGCCGGGCCCTGCGTCTCCCTCCGGCGCCTGGACCTGCAGGAGGCCGGACCCCCACGTGCGCAGACCCCCACTAGAACTACCCCAGACCCTCCCGGGACAGATGCGCCGGCCTCCTCGCTGTCCGCCCTCCCGCCATCCAACCTACGGCGGGGTCGGCGGGCGCAGCCCCCGGGGCCATCTTGTGGCGACAGTGCGGGGCCCGGGCGCCGGGCACTACCTGTACGATCTCGCCCTCGGCGCTGAGCGTGGCCCCGGCCGGCGAGAAGCGGCCCGTGAGGCCGGTGGTGTAGGTGGTGTAATCGCCGCTCGGGCTCGACTCGAACAGCACCACCTCCACGAACGCCGTCTCCTTGGCCCGCGCCGCGCCTGGCCCCGTGGCCGCCAGCAGCAGCCCGAGCAGCAGAGGCAGCGGCGGCGGCGGCGGCAAGCGACGGCTGCGGGGCCCGCGGGAGCGGCGGCGGGGGCGGCGGCGGCGGCGGCCCGGGGCCCCTGAGCGCCCGCCCGAGCGCGGCCTCATGGTCCTGCGGCGGGAGGGCGCGGAGGGCGGGCGCGGCCAGGCATAGTCGCGGGCCGGCGGAGGACCGAGAGCGGGCGGACGCCTCACAGTCCCATCTCGGCGGCGGCGGCTTTGTGGGTCGCAGGCTCCGCTCGGCTCCCCCGGCCGTCTCGCCGCGGCCCTTTCATCTGCTCCACGTGAGGGGTTATCCCCGCCCCGGCAGCGTCGTGACCCGTTCTCCCCTCCCTCTCGGCGCTCGGCCGCTGCCGCCCTCGTAGCCGTTGTGGGGAGCGGGAAGGTGGGGCGGACGCGCCTGCGGCGGAGGCGGGGCCTTGGGGCCAAGACCGAGTACGCCCCTCCCTCTCTCCGCCCCATCTCCGCCTTCACTCCGCCCCCTCGCCTCAGTCCACCCCGTCGCCCTCGTCACACCCCCTCCCCTAGTTTTGCCCCGCCTCATGGTCCTCGCTCCGCCCTCTCCCGCTGTCTCGCTCCTCCCCATCATCCTTACTCCGCCCCTCCTTGGTTTCTACCACGCCCCCTCCGATACGCCCCGCCTACTCACGCTGTAACCCCGCCTCCCTCGGCAGACATTTCTCGGCGCGGTTGCAAGGGTTCGGCGGGAATGTGGCTGCAACCTGTTCCAGGGCAGTGCGTGTCTTGTTTGCAGGGCCCACGTGCCCTGGTTTGGTACAAGAGTTTGAGCCATTCGGGCAAGGAGGTCTCTCTTCTGTCAAGGTGCCTGCAGGGGTGGGCGCCAGCACCGAGCCCTTCATCCCCACCCCCACCTCTGGAATGGAACGCGAGAGGCCTGGTTGATCAGAGGCTGTTTGCAGCTCTGCTACGCCTGGACGAGTCTGATTCTTGCTCGAGTACTGTTTAAAAGTTACTCTCCACTGGAGAAACAGCAGTGGGTGGGGGACACATTGAAAAAGTCGTTTGGATTCTAATGGAGTCTTCTTTCAGCAACCTGAGAGACTCACCCACTTCCAATGAAGTTCTGAAACTTAAGTCTAGTCACGTGCGGAAGGGCGAATGAGTCCAACACCTTTAGTGCACAGACTGTTAACTAACAAAGATGCATGCCTAAGGACCCAGGAGTTCCCAGTCACCCAGAAGATAAACTTAATTCCTCTGCCCCTTTTGGTTCAGGGCTCTTCCTCATCTACTCAGTGAAGATCAAAACCCTCCTTTCAAAGCTATGCTCAAATTCTTACTTTGTCCTTGTGTCTTCCTTCCTGGGCAGAATGGCTTTGTTTAGAAACCTGCAAATATTTGCTTAGGATGTTCTCCTATGTGCTTGGTACCACACCCAAGACATTTAAAAGATAGAAAACTAGTCGAGAATTTTCTTAAGTATACAACTTTCCAAGGTTACATTTTAAAGTGGGGAAAATCTTTTCAAAATGTGGACTAGAAAATGCACTTGAGAAGAAATCCTTAGATCCGTGCTACTGCATTTGGACCACCCGTGGCCTTGTCTTAGGAGGGAAGACTTGGGAAAATAGAGATCTGGGGAGCGTGGCTCTTCAGTTTTTCTAAAATCAAGCTGGCTGCTACTGAGCCCCATGAATCTAGCATGTCCATCCTTCCCTCATGCTGCCATTGAATCATTCATTAAGGGGTAAGGCACAGCATTTTGTAATATTTAAAGTTCAAGGTCATCATCACTTGATACATAAACAAAAATAGTCTACCAATACAATCTGCCAAAAGGAAATCCTGATACATGCTACATGGTGAACTTAGAAAATATTAGGCTAAGTAAAAACATACTATGTTTTCATTTATATGAAATGCCCAGAATCTGTAAAGTTAGAAAGTAGGTTAGTGGTTGCCATGGACTGGGGAAAGTAAGGATGGATAGTAATGTGTTGGGGATAATGAAACATACCAGAATTAGATGATGGTGATTGTTATACACATAAATATCCTAAAAATTACTAAATTGTACACTTTCAAAGGCTGAATTATGTGATATAGGAATTATATCTCAATTTGTTTTTAAAAATGCTCAGTTTTGAGGACTGGGGGTGTAACTCAGAAGTATAGTACTTGTTTAATGTGTACTTGGTCCTGGATTTGATCCCTAGCACCTCAGTCTTCAGAGTTAGTTTGTTTTATCTTTGAGATGCTAAGGGTCTCACTAAGTCACTAAATTGCCCACCCTGACAAGACTCAAGCTTTTTACCCTCCCGCCTCAGCCTCCCAGAGTGCTGGGATTATAGCAGTGTGCGACCACACGCAGCTATGGTGGTGTATTCATACAAATGCATGTGTGCGTGCTGTATAAGGATAGCCTTTGCTCTTTGAAATCTTAGGTCAAATCTCACACTCCTTCCAAGACCTATTCTAAACGCTCTATTTAAAACTGCGATGTGCGCCCTCTCCTCCAATCCTAACCTCCCTTGGCCTGGCTCCTCCCACCCATATGGCACATACCGCCTGCTAACATACCAAGTAATTTGCTTATTTTTGTCTGTCCTGTATGCCCACGTACACACATGCCAGTGAACAAGCCCTATAAAGTCAGGGACCTTTGTTTTGTCCACTCGGGTCATAGTTATTTGGCCCAGAGTACGCACTCAATAAATATTTGTTGCATGAATTAATGACTAAAGGAATGAATGATGAGCTCGTCAACATGTTTCCCTCCTATTTTGCAGACACTTAGAGGAGCTTGTTAACAGCTGTTTAGGAGCACTGCGTTTCATAGGACTAAAATAAATTCTGAGTATGGAGAAGAACGGTACTTTCAATGTAAACCCAGACACAGATCAGAAAAGAAATTGGTTTTCATTTTTTAAAAAAACGTGCTTAGGGGCTGAGGATTTAGCTCAGCGGCATAAGCACCTGCCTTGCAAGCAGGTGGTCCTGAGTTCTATCCCTGGTACTGATAAAAAAAAAAGTGCTTAAGGAAAGGTATGGTTAATAAGATAGGCTGGCAACACAGAGATAGTAACAGTTCATCTCTCAGCAGCAGGAAGCTGTTTAGAAATGGAAGTATTTACTAAGTCATGAAGTTTTTGCCACGATCCAGCAGGCAGGAAAGGGAGACAGAAATAACTTCAAGTAAATAAAAGATAAGACTTGCCAGCTAAGGGCAGGAATGGAATCAGCACACTGGATCAAATGATAGGAGCAGAACGAAGTAATGCATATTCATTATCTTGCATGGCATATTGCTAATAAATCATCCTGAGTGTAACTTGGTCCTTTCTCCACTTATCGGACACCACTGAGATGGAAATAACTGAGAACAGGTGCATTAGCATCAGTTAAAGCTGCCAAATTTTTGACAGATCCCATAGACTTAAGCCAAAAACCACACAGAGCTTCAGAAATGTTTCTACCATCAAAATTCTATTTACATGACCAAATAAAGAACTTTAGGTATTTCAAGTTTGTAAATGTATGCTTTAATACCTACAGAGACTGTAAACACACTAGACATAGAGAGTCACTGTAGTATTGTTTTAAATAATAAAAAACCTATGTATATGTAAAATAAAAAAATAACACTTAATAACCTAAGTGTCCATCAATGGGGAATAAGTTAATTAAATGATGGTATATCCATTTACCATATAATGGGAAGCATATTTAATAGCTGTCTTAAAAATAAACTTTATGAACTCTATGAAGATAGAATAATCTCCAGTATGTACTGCTAAGTAAAATGTAGTATGCTGCAGTTGGAAGGGAGATGCAGGGATAGAGAAACTAGATGCATGAAAGTTTACATACATTAAGTATGAACAGAGACCTAAGAACATTGTTTCTGCCTGGATACTGTGGTACTTGCCTGTAATTTCAGTGCTCTGGGAGGCTGAGGCAGGAGGATCAAAAGTTTGAGCCCTGCCTAGGCAATTTAATGACTTAGCAAAACCCTGTCTCAAAATTTAAAAAGGGCTGGAGATTAGCTCAGTGGGAAGGCCCCGGGTTCCTCAATAGCTAAAAAAATAAAAAAGACTGTCTCTAGAGAGGCATATAAGGAAAAGAAGAAGACCTGCTTTTCCCTGTATATTTGAACTTACTGAATATTGCTACATGCATATATATTACCTATTCAAAAATAAGAAAAGATTAATCTGCTAAACCAACAGATGATAGCATTCGTTTTCTATATACAAGCACATCCATTCCATAAACTTTATCAAATATGAATAAAGTCATGCTACCAGAAAATGTGCCACTAGAAGACACAAGGGGATTGGCCTATAGTTCTGTTCTTTTTTTTTTTTTTTTTTTTTTTTTTGTCTTTTTCCTTTTTATCGGTACCAGGGATCAAACTCCCAACTGCTTGCTTGCAAGGCAGGTACTTATGCTGCTGAGCTAAACCCCCAACCCCTTGCCTATAGTTCTGAAAGATGTCCTTACTGGGGGAAGACAGGCAAAATACACAGAGGACCTCCTGTGCTATTTTTGCAACTTCTTCTAATTACTTAAAAAATTAAAAATTAAGCCAGATGTAGTGGCACATGCCTGTAATCCCAGCAATCTGAGAGACTCCAGCAGGAGGATCACAAGTTCAAGCACAACCACCTAGATACCTGGATAATTTTGCAATTTAATGAAACTGTATCATTAAAGATAAAACCTATGGGTATAGCTCAGTGCCAAGGCCTTGGGTTTGATTTAAGAAATTTACATTTAAAATGGATTGGCCAATCCCTGTATGTAAGTAGTTTCCTTCCTTTTTTTCCTTTCTTCGTTCTGCAAACATTTGTTAGTATATGAGACAAGTCAATAAAAGACTCCATTAAACTGTAAGTACACATTTACTATTTTATAAGTAATTTAAGGCTTTCTTTCAGGTGATTCAAATTTAAAACATGCTAGCCTTCTTCCACAGTATTTACATATATTTCTGGAAACTTTCATTTATTGTATTTAAACATCATATAATTCTCTTGAAAGGTACAATAGTTGTTATACAGACAAGTAGTGGCAGTTCTTTCAAAGCCCTTAGAAGTCTCTTTTCTGCCTTTGAAGTACACCATCAATCTATGTCTGTGTTGAGCCTTAAGGCAGAAGACCAATCTAGGCCTCGACTCATCAGTGGTTTAAACCCTGCTTCAACCTGTCCCTGATTTGCAATGGCCACCCAACCAGGCGTCACAAACTCAAACAGTGCTTCGGGGCCAGGCAGGGAATGTGACTGAATAAAGTGGGCCAGGTATAAGCAAAAGTAACCAGCAAATGAGGTGATAATTGGCAATGGAGCTTCAAATAGGAGTGCCCTTGGGAGTAGTGGCCTGGGAATGCATGGCCAGTCTAGAGGGCCACTCTAGCATCTTGTTGCTGTGG